ATATATAAATTTAGTGGTTTGTATGTAAACCCCCTTTTTCATTCATTAAAATGTAAAGTATTTTAATCATTAATTTAAAAATAATAATAAAGAAAGTTTAATGTATAAATTTTATGTAACTTTTTTAGGCAATCATTAATATTTTTATATGCTTTGTAAATTAAATTGAATAAAAATTATTGACTTCTATCTTAGTTATGTCCACTTGTCCGTGCAAATTTATGTTAGCCAATGTTTATAAAATAAAATTTAAATTGAAATTACAAACATTAAAACAAATTTAGATTTTTCACGACATTAAAAACATTCAAGGAAATTTTTATGGACAAATCATCATATAATTCAACTGTTATTCTTTAAATTTTCGATTAGAGTAAGTTTCCTTTTTAATATTAAGTGGATGGAAAGTTACTGTGAAATAGCATGTTATATATTACTAAAAAGTTAGAAAGGGCATTTATATGCATACCAAACAATTCTTATGTTTTGACATATCTAGCATCCAAATTTCCATATTTGCATACATTTCATTTAAATATTTGACATCACATTAAAATGATCATCAACGCTAATTTTTTTGAAAGTTAAACGCACATTTATTATGCATAGATTTTTAATACTTTTTGGACCATCTGATGATCCGATTAGGAGAGTAGATGTTTTAGATTCGGCTTGTGTTAATAAAGACAGAGGTAGAACTAGAAAGACTTGGGCTTATTCTTTAGAAAATGATCTTAATTTATTAGAACTAAATGAAAAAATGGCACTAAATAGGACGCAATGGAGAAAATGGATTCATGTAGCCGACCCCGTGTAGTGGGATTAAGGCTTTGTTGTTGTAGATTTTTAATACAATTTGATATAAATATAAATATCAAAATTTAAACCTTAGATATGTGAATGCATAAGAATTAGGTCAGCTCCGTTTTGACAGCCCTAATTTAGGTGTGGTTGAATGAAAATTTCTTCTACTAAAATTGGTGGAATCGTGCATCTTTCACGAAAGTTCAATGGGGTATACAACACCTACTTAATTTATTGCACATTTGAAATCAGTTTCGGAAGGAATAAGATCCCATTGTCATTGTAAACAAATAACATAGATAAAATTGTTTATTTCCCAAGGATTAATTTGCTTTAAGATTTGTTTCATATGGCAATGGCATCATCAGTTGCGCATATCTAAACGCAAATAAATCGGTTCATGCGCAAGTAGATGAACTCTTTGGCCTACCACATGCTTGTAAGGTTTTGTTAGTAAAACAAGCTAAATTTTGACATTTACGTAGATAATAATCACAATAATATCAAAGTATAAATTTAGGAAAATTATTCTTAGTGATAGACTTGATGAGGTCTTCAAATTGTAAAGACAAATATAAAAAATCAAATTTTAGTTATATAAATATATGAGAATCGCGTGGCATGCATGCTTGTATTTATTGATTTATTGACCTAAGTAAAATGTTAGGTATAACTCATATATCATAAAATTTGGAGTATCTTGAAATGGATAGGTGTGTTTCCTGTAATGAAAAGAAGTGTCTCTTGGTGTGAATAGATATGTCTCTTGGATTAGTGGGGGTTTGGGGGGGGGGGGATGTTTGATTAATAAATATATGTGTAACGCTATGGGTATATAACTCATCTGAAATAGTGAATTCGTTGCTCTGCTCCCGAGGATGAAGACATCTTTGCCAAGCCTCATTAAACCTCTGTGTTCTTCTGGTTTTGTGTCGATTCCTGTTTTTCTTCGCCTTGAACTTCTCAACATAAAATGCTTGATATGTAGAAAAATTTTACATTTTGGAACAATAATTATCAATAATTCATATATTTAAATGTTCAAGGAGATTAAATTGTTATTGTTTATTATTTTGAAGCACAAATTTCGTCAAATATCAACTAGTTAGATGTCCTTTATCATTAGTGTAGGAGATATTCCTAATAGTTTTTATTATTTTTCATTTTTTAATGAAGCTCCTCGTGGTTGTTGGAAACTACGAACTTTAAAGAAGGATATGAATTGATTGGAAATGAAAGATTGATTAGCTCTCAAATTAAAAATTACAAATTTATGTTGCGGAATTTACGTACATACATCAAAAATTTTATTGTTATAAACATAACACCCAATTTACATCTTATCATATTTTTCAACAATGAAATTCACATTTCCATACATAGTACGTAAATGCATGAAATGAATATAATAGGAATTAGGTGCAGCGCATGTAAATTTATGTAAAATGTTTTGTCAGCCGTTCATCCCAACTACCCCCACCTCCCCATCTCTCTCCATTAAATAATAGCCCTGAAGCCATCTCTACTTCCAGTCAGCACATTTCAGCCTTCAGATTCCTCTATAGCTCTTCTTACTCGCCTCTCTCTCGCTCTAAGAAGTAAGTTTTTGAAACTGCCGTCTGATTTCTTTCCATTGGTGAATGATCTGATGGTTTTTACAGGCATGAGTTCGAAGGAGGTGATGATAGATGAAATCCCTTTCCCAGTTGAGATCACCAAAACCAAGCCATTGGCTTTGTTAGGCCAAGGTACACTTACTTTTGCCCTAAGGATTTATTTGGTTTTGTGGAGCTACAAAATGTGATTTTGAGGAATAATGAAGAAGTATTTTAGAATCAGTAATTTGTTTGATGTAACTAGACATGTATTAATTTCAAAGTACACAGTTTTTCTCGAAGTAGTTTTAGAAGTTATAAATAATATCAATTTCACACCTCAAGAGACCGAATATAAAACTATTGTGTGGTATGTATGATTTAATAAAATCAATGAACAGAAACACGGTAAGAGGAAAAGGATGGAGAAAAATTTGCGACGTAACACTGCGTATGCCAGTAGATTACAGGGAGGATATTCAGGGTTATATTCGCTTTATACCCCCTGTAACCTACCTGTAATTAGTAAGTTTTACACTTCTGTTTTCATATATTTGTAAGTTACAAGTAGGTTACAGGGAGGGTACAAAGGTATAACGCAGATATAACCCTCAACACCCTCCCTGTAACCTATCTGACGTATGCAGCGCTGCGTATGTTTTATGTACGCAAAATTTTTCTCGAAAGGATGAGGGAATTAGTTGTGGTTTGGTTGTGATGTCTTCATTTCTTTTGGCTTGATGGTTTTGGGTTGGAGCAAAAGATATGTTAAGTAAAAACCTATTAATTAAATTGATAATTTTTAACTACTAAAACAAAAGTTATCCTAAATTAATTAAAAAGTTAAATCCGTCTTCCTAATTAATATTAGCCAAGTGATATTATTTTTTTAACTTAATTTAAGAAAGGAAGATGTTTTTAATTAACTTAATAAATTACTAATTAATGATCAATTGATATTATATCTGATGCTAATTATAATTTTATTAATTGAGTTACATTTGATATAGGCTAGTAGGAACTAACTTAACTAAATGAATATTATTTTTATGTAAAATGAGTAGATAAAAAGTATTATGTAATTAGTTTAATAAAGGATTAATTATTGACTAATTGAGATAGTGTCTTATGTTTAACAATAAATAATGGAAAAATAATTAAATATTAATTAATTAAGTACATTTCTTATTGTTGATTAATTAAATAAAAAAAAAACTTTTATTTGATGATTAATATAATAAAAAATAATAAAACTATAAATTAGCCTTAATAATTTTGTCATTCATGATTAAAATTTAATATATATTTAAACGAGCAAACTTATGTTCTAAATAGGTAGCAAAATAGTTCATCAAGCTTTAATCAGATCTAACCTCTATCATCAATACTTCTCAGATTTTAGCTTTCTCTGAATTTATGAAATTTAAATTTATAGTAATTTTTAAGTCATATTTGCAGCCAAATACCTTGTTAGGTTTAAATAATTTAGTTTGTCATTCAAAATGATCCTTAAAATTACATACATATAATTATCTTAATAGCTAGCTCTAAAGTGCTAATCTATGGAGATGATAATTTGATTGCAATCATCCATCTTGAATTTTTGAAGAATCTCATTTAGTTAAGCTTTTTATGATCTAAAAAAAATCCTCATTTGTTTGGTGCATTTAAGTCATGAGTATTATTCATAATTTGGAGCTCCAAATTATGTTTAATCTATATTTACACAATTTATTGGCCATTTCTTCTAATTAAAATAAAGTCAGTCACTTATGAAATGACTAACAATAAATCTCTTTTACATAAAAATTTTGCTGATGAAGATCATGTTGCACGAGACTAATATTGAAGTTAGAATGAATGTGTCTAGGGTTTATGGTCAAAGCAGTTGCTCCATGATAATTGATCATTTCTTAAATTTAATATTTTTTTCTTTATTTCCTTTACATAATGCTTAAGTTGTTGCACATGCGATATTTAAGACAATAATTCAAAAAAATTAATTTGATATATTATATATAGCAAATACCTTGTCATAATCGGTGTCAGGTTGTTGTTTGTAACCAACCCTGAGAAGAAGGTAGATATTAAAATGATGGCGGTTGTATTGAAATATAAACTTAATTTAGTTGTTTAAATATATATGATTTTAGTTGTTTAAATAAATTTTAATTATGTCTTATCTAGAAGCTTATTCTAGAATATGTGGTAGATATGAAATCATTGTGTGGAAGGTGTGATAGGTGTGAGAATTATTGTGAGGTAGGTATGAAATGAGTAGGTATGAAATTATTTGTAACTTATTTGTAACTATTAGATTGGAATTGTAGTGGCACAATCCTAACCATTAATTTACGATGTGGCACTAGTGTAAATAGGGGTAGAGTATTTGAGTTTGTATCAAGTCAAGTAAAAGTGATAAATAAAAGTGAAGTTTCTTCCTAAATAAAAGTGAAGTTTCAATAAAAGTGAAGTTTCTTCCATAAATTTTTAGCCTTTGTCATATCCTAAAAGTTTTTCCATTCCAACAAACTGGTATCAGAGCGCAAATGTTCCTTTATAGAGCAATGACAAACGGTGATATGGTTTCCTTCCAAGTCCCGATGCTTAAGGAAAGCATCTACAACAATTGGAGTATCAAGTATCAAGATACAAGATAAAGGCACTCCTTGGAGTGCATGATGTTTGGGAGGTTGTGGAGAAAGGCTACGATGAGCCAAGCGACGAGTCCGTTCTATCCACAACACAAAAGGATAGCTTAAGAGACTTGTGAAAGAGAGATAAGAAGGCTCTATTCCTCATCTATCAAGCTTTAGATGAAGATGGTTTTGAGAATATCTCAAGTGCTACTTTGGCCAAGCTAGCATGGGAGAAGCATGAGGTTTCGTATAAGGGAGAAGAGAAGGTTAAAAAGGTACAACTTGAAACTTTAAGAAGCCAATTTGATGTTTTGCATATGAAAGAAGGCTAGTTGGTCTTCGATTACTTTTCTAGAGTCATTACCATTTCCATTCAACTAAAAATAAAAGGTGAGAAGTTAGAAGATCTGGCTATCATGGAAAAGATTCTTTGATCGTTAGATTCAAAATTTGATAGTATCACAACCATTATCGAAGAAACTAAGGACTTACAAGCCATGACGATAGAGCAACTTCTGGTTTCATTGCAAGCCCATGAAATAAAAGAAGATGAATGAAGAGATTACCGAATAACTTCTCAAGACGGATATCCAAATATCCAACCAACTCAGAAAGAGGAAAGCTTCAACAATATTAGAAGCCAACATGAAAGAGGTAATGGACAAGGACGAAGTCATGTTAGCAAGCAAGGATGGGGTACCAACAATAACTATGAGAAAGGAGAAATATCTACAAGAGGATGTGGTTGAGGGCGCTCAAACATGAAGTATGATAAATCTGAAATTAAGTGCTATAATTGTAACAAGTTCGGGCATTATGCGAAAGAATGTAGAGCACCCAAGTACAAAGTTAATGAAAGAGTCAACTACATAGAAGAAAAAAAAAGTTAATGAAAGATGACACTCTACTTCTAGCATACAAGGACAATGAAAGAGGTGAAGATAGTACATGGTACCTAGACATCGGTGCAAGTAAACATATGTGTGGGAGATGAAGCATGTTCGTAGAGCTTGACGAATCAGTAAGAAGCAATGTTTCTTTTGGAGATGAGTCCAAGATAGAGGTGAAAGGCCAAGTAACATTCTCATCCGTCAGAAAAATGAGAAGCATCAATTTATTTCTAATGTTTACTTTGTGCCGAATATGAAGAGCAACATCTTAAGTTTAGGATAACTCTTGGAGAAATGCTATGATATTCACTTGAAAGAAAATACTCTCTTCTTAAAAGACAGTATTGGTAATTTGATTGCTAATGTGCCAATGTCTAAAAATAGAATTTTCTCACTCAACATTCAAAATGATCTTGCCAAATGTCTGAATACCTATTATAAAGATGCTTCTTGGCTCTGGTATCTTCGATTTGGGCATCTCAAATTCAGAGGACTCGATTTGCTTTCAAAGAAAGAGATGGTGAGAGGATTACCTTGCATCAACCACCCTGATCAATTATATGAAGGGTGTTTACTCGGAAAACACTTCAGGAAAAGCTTTTCAAGGGAGTCAAGTTCAAGGGCCCAAAAGCCTCTTGAGCTCATACATACATATGTCTGCGGTCCAATAAAGCCAAGCTCACTCGGTAAGAGCAACTATTTTCTTCTTTTCATAGATGATTTTTCACGAAAAACATGGGTGTATTTCTTAAAACAAAATTTAAAGGTTTTTGGAGCATTCAAGAAGTTTAAGGCAGATGTAGAGAAAGAGAATGGTCTCAAGATCAAAGCTATGCAATCTGATCGAGGAGGAGAATTCACTTCAAAAGAATTTCAAGAATTCTGTGAAGCCAACAAAATACGTCAACTTCTAACTGTTCCAAGATCCCCCCAACAAAATGGTGTAGCAGAAAGGAAGAATAAAACCATCCTCAACATGACAAGGAGCATGCTAAAAAGCAAGAGATTGCCAAAGGAGTTTTGGGCAGAAGCGGCTGCATGTGATGTTGATTTGGCTAACCGATCACCAATAAGAAGTGTGTTGAGTAAGACACCACAAGAAGCAAGAAGTGGAAGAAAGCCCGACATCTCTCATTTACGAGTTTTTGGATGCATAACTCATGTACACATACCCGACGAGAAAAGAAGTAAGCTGGATGACAAGAGCAAGAAGTTCATTTTCATTGATTACGACAACAACTCGAAAGAATACAAGTTATACAATCCAAATACAGTGAAGACTTTATTAAAATGAGAAGTTTACTTGGAGTCACAACATCAAGTTTAAGAGGAGGTGTTGAAATATAAATTTGATTTTAGTCGTTTAAATAAAACCTAATTATGTCTCATCTAGAAGCTTATTGTGGTAGATATGAAATTATTGTGTGATAGATGTGTTAGGTGTGGAATTATTGTGTGGTAGATATGAAATTATTTGTAACCATTTGATTGAAATTGTAGTGACACAATCCTAGCCATTAATTTAGGATGTGTTACTAGTATAAATTTGGGTGGAGTTTTTGAGTTTATATCAAGTCAAGTAAAAGTGATAAATAAAAGTGAAGCTTCTTCCATAAATTTTTAG